TGTGCTCCCATCAAATACTACTTTTTTTGGCTTCATCTTTTCCTTGTAAATCCTGAGCACATATTACACGAACAGACTGCCGAGCATTATTCAGAAGAGCTTAATTAACCTCAGCTAGGGAAAGGATAGATAGATGCTGTAGGGTAAAAAAAAGATCATGTTTAGACAAATAAGTGCAAATGACCTAGATGCATCCATTTCCTGAAGAGCTGTGCAATGCAATCTGGCTGCTGGCTGCAGAGAGTGCAGGTTTATGGCACGGCTCCCCGTGCTCGCTGGCCCTGGCTGCGCCTTGGGGCTTCTCCCACACCACCCCCAAAGTCCGTACTACCTGCTCTCATCCTGTTTTCTCCTCCATCTGTCACCTTTCTCTTAAACATCATCAAAATGCAGAGCTAGGGAGGACCCCAGGAGATCAGCTATTCCCTTTGCAGGATTAAGCATACTCAGATCATCTCTGATGGATGTTTGTCTAACCTTATTTTTGAAAATCTCCAAGGAATGCTGCCCCAAGACTTCCCTGTTTTGTCTGTTCTAGTGTTTAACTACTCTAACAGCTAGAAAGATTTTTTTCCAAGTATCTAATCCCATTCTCCCTTGTGGTAAATTATGGCAAGCCACAATCAAAATGGAGAATAATTGATCACCAGCCTCCTTAGAAGAGAAGCCGCTTCCACGTATTGAAACACCAATAGCACGTTCCTTTTTATTTATGTCCTTTCTAGATTAAACAACTCCATTTTTTTGGCCTTTCCCCACTGATCAGGTTTTGAGAGTCTTTTTTTTTTTTTTTTTGTCTTTTTATATTTTCTTGCTCTTACCTGATTTAACTGCAAAAAATTAGTTTGTGCAACATTCAAAACTGGACAGTGTGAACCAGCTAGTCACCATCCTGCCTCAACTGTGGACAGGATAACGTATAATACTCCACTAGTATAGTTAGCATATAAATGATGGCAAATTCTATAGCTTAATTTCTTCCTAATTCTCTCATATGTTATCCCTGGGATAATCAGGAGTAATAGCAGCAGCCTGTCCCAGCTGCTGCTTCTGCCCTCCCCTAAGCCTGAGCTCCTTTCGACAGAGTGGCTACTTACACGGCTGATAAAGCTCCATTTTGTGTATACGTGTTTGCTTTGTCCTTTTGACATGTGGTACTTACACCAGTCCGCTCGAACAATCCATTTTCATCCTCAGCCACACATCTGCTTCCCTTTATCTTGTGTGAGCTTGTTTGATTCGGCTTATGTGCTCGAAGAAAGGGAAGATAGTCCTGCGCTTGACAAAAACGGTGCACGGAACAGCAAGGTTCGTTTCTCGACACTGTTACAGGCTGCGTCTGGCAGAAATCACACAAAGCAGCGTTGCTTTCCTTGCCTGCATGGTTCCTGAATTTCTATTCTCTTGTCCACATGCATAAAAAGCTCCTTAAAAACAGTGGTTTGGCCTTGTTTGCTGTACATCTCTCACGTTGCCCAGATGAATTCCTAAACTTTATTGAAATCAATCACAGTGTAAGCCACGTGCATTTGGAGATGCCCATGCTTCACTAAGGAGCTAAGCAATACGTGTTGCTTCTGTAAGAGCTGCAGAAACATAAGTGATGAAATATCCACGGATCAAATAATTACTATGCTTCCTACACTATGGGTGTTAAAATTTAGTCAGTTGGGAAATATTGTCCACTTATTGAGTGTTGGCAAGAAGAGGGGAAGGAAGGAGAAGCGGCAGTAGGAAATGCCTAGCCCATTAAAAATGACATTATCCAGTGATAGTTATTAACCTGCTGCATGGACCGAACTTTCTCAAAACCAGGTGTGTACAAAGTGTTTTCCATGTGCAGACACGCGCTGTTCATGGAGATGTTTATGCGCTCTACCACTTTGAAAAATAAAGGGTCTCTTAAAGACTTAGGGTACCGGCGCTGGAGTTTGCGGTCCGTGAGTGGGGAACGGTCCTTCTTTTGTGGGAGTATGAAGGAAACGCGTTGCTGGCACAGGGCAGCGCCCCACGCTCGGGGAACCTCAGGCACGGGCTTGCTCTGAGCTCTTTCGCTTTTCTGTTCCACTTGGAATGGTTTCATCCTCCTCCATGTCAGCACCTTTCTCTCCTCCCCACCCTCCAGTGGCTCTTTCTCCACCGGAAAGTTCCTGCCAAGCTGGAGGCTGAGAGCTCTGGGGAGGGCGATGGGAGAAAAGATGATTCATTTCTTGTACATTCATTATTGAAGTTTCTTCTCAAAATGAAAGTAGAAAGAGGCAGGCGGGAGCTTTGCTCTTACCATCTTTCCCTCATTTGCCCACGTGCTTGCTCAGCACTCAAGGACAAAACCACGGCGTTTCTCCTCCTCGTGTTTTATGCAAGCAGCCCCGATAGCTGAGCTTTTCTTTGCCGCTAGTGCGTTCTTGCCAGCAATAATATTCTGTGGGGCCATTTTATTTCCAAAAGCACTTGTATGATTCCATTATCTCCTCGTTGCTCCTTCAATAACTCCTAGGCAACACCGGTATCTTCGCGTCCAATACTCGGCGACACCTGCGAAACACGGGAGCCCCTAAACCGCCCTGCAGAGGCCGCGACGGTTCCTGCCGCCGAGGGGAACCGCGTGGAGCGGTGCAGTCAGGCATGTCCAGGCCCCACGTGTTGTCCTCTGGAAGCATAACGACAGCACAAAGCTGTTAAAATATTCACTTGCCGTTAGCTGTTAAAAATAGCTCATGATGTTTTCGAAATCAAAATTAGATAAGAGGGGGAAAAAAATGCATTTAGTATGTGCGAGAAAAAAGCTAATGCACAGAGCCTCATATTTTCAGAGCTGGGTGAGAAAGAGGTTTGTGATTATTCTTGTAATACCTTTCAAGAACAAATCTTTACATAATCATGAATATTGCATAGAAAAGTACGTTTGATCCCACTTCACCCATCTCACACGCACAGTCTGTTTAGGGTTGCGTTTTGGAAGTTTTCAGCAGCAAGGGGAAGGAGAATGGTTGCTGGTATGGCTAATTTAAGGAGCACATCCTTTTTCCTATTAGATTCGTTATCAAGTTTTTCTGAGATGATTTTTGAGATGCTATTTCTAAGAACTAGTCCGAGACTCAAATTTAAACAGAGTGCACAGTATTGATTTAATTGAACAGGTTTAGTGTGACGCTAACAGCCTTTCCTCAGCATTTCACTGGGCTCGGAGGGAGAGGAAAGAAGGAATTTTCCAAGTTGGGGCAAAACAGAAAAGATTTGCTATTGCATATTCAGCCTGAAATGTTCTTTTCTTGTGTTTTGGACAGCATTGCTACGCAAAGCCTGCATACTAGAGGAAGATACTTGCATGATGCATTGGGTAATGGAATTTTCCCCCCTGCCCAGAGAATTCCAGAGGAAGGAGACAGGTTTTAAAGGCTACGAGCCTCTCGACAGTGCCCTGTCACATGCTAGTTAATACTGTCTGGCAGATCCATGGGCAAGTTTGCTAAAAAAATTACAATGTACAATTTATTTTCCAAGATCAATGATTTGTTTAAAATAATACCTACTGCTTATCTTTAAAAAAACCTCACTACTAAATCTTTTTTGAGTAAGTAAATGCTGTACATAGATTTTATTTTTCCTCTTAAATGAATCATTTGACGTAGCATTTATCTTTAGGGCACTCTCAAAAATCAAGAAGTATTTAAGTGAAATTAATTTAATACACCTAAATATTGGCTTTTGAGAGTGGGTAGAGGAAGGAAATGTTGATTGTGTGTTGCTAATTTTGGCTTTTTAAATATGTATGCCTTGTAACTTGAATCACCTTACGTGGTCATGACTGTATAATTAACATTCTGTTTTCTGATGATCTTTTTTGTTATCTGCTCCTATAAAGACATCGAGATGCGGCGCCAGCGCTCCTCTTACACCAGTATAAATCAGGAATAGTTCTAGTAAAGGGAGTACAAAATTTTTTGGGCAAAGCCAAAATAAGTATGAAGAGGGTAAGGAGGAAAACAGGACATAATCTATATTTTGCTGTGGTTTATCAGCATCCACAATTTCACGTTTACGACTGAGCAGCTGAACACAGTAGATCTCAAGGCACTTTTTTTTCAGTGCCACCTCCACCCACCGCCGTCTCCCCGCTGCCCTGGGGGGGTCGGCGGGGGGGTGGTGGCTGCCGACACCCAGCACCGCGGCACGGCTGGCGCCGGCGCGGAGCCGAGGGAGCGCTGGGCACGTCCCACAGAGCTGCGCGGGTTCTCCTACCAGTGATGAGAAACTCAGGATGAAACCATTTGACTTTTCCCTTCCCGACGTAGAGAAATGGGCTGCTGCTCTAAAGCAAGAGGCGGGAATGGTCAACGTAGGCGGGAGATGAGGATGAACAGGTTTGGTTGTGAAGGTTATAAACACCAAGGAGGGAAAAAGAAAGAAATTAAGCTGGATCAAGAGGTTAAAACCAGGGTGTAACGGGACAGAGAGAGGTTACGAGTTCTTTGAACTGAGAATCAGGGTGATTTTCTTGCCAGTGAGTTGTGTGTGAATGGAAAGTGGAGAAGGGGCAGGGCCCCTTCTCCCCCGAATCTGAGAACGTGTTTGGGAAGCAGAGATCTGCACTGCCAAAGAGGCCCGAGCTGATTTCGCACGATTTATGTTACTACACAGCCTTGTTCGCAGCACGGGAATCCCTTCAGGCCAGTGGCCCGTGTTTTCCAGTTTTTCATCCTATGGAACAGAACTTCCCATCATGGGAAATGATGGAAGGATGCTACCTACTCAGCGGCATTTCTTCACACCTACAAGCAAAATTTTACATGGGGATTCGTATTTTGTTCTTTTAGGCCTATGAAATACCCTGCTTGTGTAGCCAGCCACAAATGTATCCGCAGCAGATGAGGCTTGAAGAGTCTGACCAGGTTTCACCATTACTTCTTCCTTTTCTTCAGCCCTCCCAGGAGTTCCCTGCTGAGTTCAGGCTCTGTAAGTACCTTACAATCAACCCATCTCTCCTTTTCTCTCTGTAGGATCTGATACGAAGAGATATTCTGTATTACAAAGGTCGCATAGACATGGATAAGTACGAAGTGGTGGATATAGAAGATGGGAGAGATGATGACTTCAATGTCAGCATGAAGAATGCCTTCAAACTTCATAACAAGGAGACTGAGGAAATGCACTTATTCTTTGCCAAGAAACTGGAGGAGAAGTTACGATGGCTTAGAGCTTTCAGAGAAGAAAGGAAGATGGTAAAAGAAGATGAAAAGATAGGTGAGGAATATGAAATGAATCCGAAAGGAGATTGTTGGTAATGCTTAATTTAGCCCCAACTGTTGGAGAAGCCCACAATTTTTTGGTAGTTGCAATTACAGTTCAACCTTGTTCAGCTGTCCTTGGTTGCTCTCGTAGTCATAAATAGGTCTCTCCTCCAATTCAGTTACTGTTATTTTTGGCCCTCGATAAACAAATTGTGCCCATAGCTTCAAGCCTGGACCTCCGTGGGTGTTGCGGGAGAAGGAAGGCTTTGGCCATCTGACTTCAGAGTCTCCTGGCTGCATCAGTTCTGCTCTGGTTAAGCACATCCCGCGCAGGGTAGGAGGGTGGCGAAGGCAGTGACTTACCAGCCGTGCCCTTCCCTCAGCATCAGCCCATAAATTGACTGTAACCAACATCAGTTCAGTCTCTGTGCTGCTCAGCTGTAGAGCACTGGGCATATTTATGATACTGTGTAAATAATAATGGGTCTAATCTTACTTTTCATACAGCCCCTGCACAAGTGAGATTATAAAGAGGCCTGTCCTTTCAAGGAAGATTTGCTTTTCAGTAAAATACCTGCCCATGCACACAGCTCACTGGGTGATGCTTTGCCACCTAGGGCATTCAGTGTTTGCCAAACAGTGCAGAACATTCCCCCCCTCCCCAAAAGAAAAAAGAGGCTTTGTAAGCAATCTTCTGAATTGTGTTTGCCGTGTTCCCTTTTTCAGGCTTTGAAATTTCTGAAAATCAAAAGCGGCAAGCGGCAATGACAGTAAAGAAAGTCAGTAAGCAAAAAGGTAACCGGCAACATGCACTGTGCCTGGTGATGTGAGGGTGGAGCGGGCTGGGCTGAATCCTGCTGGGTTAGGATCCAGCATCCCCCTTGAATTTCCCCCTCCCCTTTCTCTTTTTATATAAAATACCGTTTGTGCTTTGTATCCTTTCTTAATGTATCTGTGGGCCAAATTAATCTCTGGTCTAATGTGGTTGAAGCCAGTGGAATTTCACCAGAGATGAATTTGATCTCGTGTCTCCAGTCTGATGTGCAGAAGCTGTCCCTGGGGGCAGAAATCTCTCTCAGTTGTTTATCTCAGGCTGAAATGGGAGTGAGTGCGGAGATATGTAGGGGTTCTGCTAATTCCCAAAGTCTCCCATTAGCAAGGAAAGAAAGATGGCTAAAATACTGGAGATGGTGAGGGATCTACCCCTTTCCTCCTTTTGGAAAGGGGACACTCACGTTTCCCGGGGCTACCTATAACTTTTTAAGGACAGCACAGTAGCATCAGGTCTAGGAAATAAAGTATCTTAGTAAAGACATTTTATCTCTCTAATGTCACATTCATTCCCCCACCCAGTCAGGCTACAGCCAACTAATAAATGCCATGCTAGATATTAAACAGAGCTCAACTGGCGAAATGGCCAGTGTTAATTATCTCTTGCAATAACTCTTGCAACTACAGGTTTTGAAATAGTGAATACGAAGGGCAAGTCAGAGAGGTCATTTTTCAAGTTTCCCAAAGCTTCACAGAGTCATAGACATATCGATTCGTTACCAAAGTACCGTGGGCACAACTAGACCTGTAAATGGGTTTTGAGAGAACTCATCACTTCTTGGCTACAGTCAGTTCCAGGCAGATTCATCCCTGCTTTGCACAGACATTGGGTTGTTTTTTTGCAAAAGTTGAAGGAGCATTTTGCTTTCTGCCTCACCTGTTTGTTGTCTACTGGCTTTGCTGGTCCAGTAGTGGTTCGCTAGGGCAACTGTAAACACCTTGGTTTGCTGTGTCTCTCCATTGTCATTAGTCTTCTCCTCTCTACTAACTTCCTATGTTGTCTTCTGAGATGTTCTCTAAAAACTCTCCTGGCCAGATTTGCTAAGTACGCACGCCCCTAAAAAGGGGCCCAGGGCCGCCTGTCTTTCTTACACAACGTCTGTGTAGTTGAGGCAGGAGCGGATGCCGTGACGAGCTCGGTTTTGCAGATTCCCCCCCTCAGCACTTGCATGCTTGTCCCTCAGCACGGGAGCAACCGCGGCGATTACGGCAACTGGAAAATTGAAGAAACCGAGTTGCATGATGGCCATGACCAAAACAGTTTAAATTATTCATTTGCTGTTCACTTAATTATATGATTAATTACGGTATTAATTGATTAATAATTGTACTCTTCAGTCATTAGGTGACACAGTTCAAAGGTGCCTGAGCATGCCTACCAGTATTCCCACTTAAATCACTGGACTTGCATCCTGACAAATACAACATGCCTAACCATACTTATTTCTTACACAGCAATTGCTCTCTTGTTTTCTCTCTTTCTCTTTCTCTCTCTTTCTCTCTGAGATGAAAAAGCAGGGGCTATTATCTTAGACTTCTCCGCTGATAAAATTAATTAGCTCCTAAAACACCAGTCAGCATTTCTTTTATGAAGAACGAGTTTATGCTGTAACACTGGCAGTTCTTTTTGTGAGATGACGTACTCGTGTCAGACAGAGATGCAGTCAGACCCCAAGCATCAAATTATGCAAAACCTGGTTGTTTTACTTAAGACATGGAACCTGAAGAAGAACAAATAGGGTCGGGTCATTAAGTTGGTAACTCTGTTTCTTTTGTCCTACATTGTGATAATCGTAGCCCAGTCTCAGATTAATGAAATTAAGTACTGGCGCTGACCATTGGCTGAAAACTCTTAGTTTTCTTACTCTGTGGTTTGTCTTGTGCCCACAACCCAAAGAAATGCACGAGGCTGCCGGAGCTGGTGGCATTGCTCAGAAGAGCGGGGGTAGGAGGAAATTCCTGAGAGCTGGCTTTTAGTGACTGACTTTTTGAATCTTGCCACGTGCATTTTACATATATTGCCAACAGGTTTTTCTGCCAAAGCCCTTGGCAAGCCCTGGGGGCCGTGTTGCTGAGGCTGAGGTGGAGTTCCCAGGGCTGGGTGCGCCTGTGCCGGGGGCTGCTGCCTCTGCCCTCCCCACGCAGCCTCCCACAGCGCTCTCGGGTGGGTTTTGCAGCATCAGGTACACCTGGAAAGCAGTGAAGCCCTTCAGGAGCAGGAGTACTTCCACTGCAGTCAGCTGAACTGTTGACTCGTTTCGATTTGCGGACCTGGCAGGACAGGTCTCAGTGGCTACAGCAGGGCTTGATGACTCCACAGCCCAGCCTGACATGTCGAGAGCTCTGCTCCCGTGGCAGGGGATGCCTATTACAGGCTTGTTTCTCAATTATCTCAGTTGTTCCCTCCACCTCCTAAATGGGAAACCATGGTAATTTCCCTGTCACAGAATACTTAAGGAAGAGAGAAAAGCTGTGAAGGAGGTGAAATGGAAAACGCAACCAACTTTGTTAGAGGTGAAGCAGAAAAACATTTTTCAAATAGTATAAACTGCTGCTTATTTGCTGCACTGTTGTACCACACCTCCCAGAAGAATTACCCCGGAGCTGGCTGGCGTGCGTGCGAAACAGCAGCATTTAAACTACCACTGGCTGCAGCAGGTGAGGGAGAGACGCCAGGAGATCGGCTGCCAGTGGGAGAAGAAACCTTAAAACATTGCTTTTTAAACTAATGGGAACTTTATCCAGGTGATTAAGAGAGAAGGCAACTCTCAGCGTTTTGAGAAGATTTTTGGTCCCCAAACGAGGGTCCTCTGAGGGGCACAAGTCAGCCCCCTCTGGAAGCAGCCCCCTCCTCACGCTCACGTCTGCGCAGAAATGCGTGCACGCGCGCAGTGCCAGGCTTCCTCCCAAATCGACTTAATGATGCGCAAGGTCAGATTTCAGCAATATACTGGGATTTGCACTACTTACTGGGTTGGGCAAGACGTAATGATATTAGACCAGGTGCCTTAAGACAGCATTAAACCAATTTTTTTAAGTCCATTAGATATAAAGTAAATGGGTAGTGTTGGCTCTGCACCTTACGGAGGGAGGGAGTGAAGGGCTGTTTGTTGTTGTTTTTTTCTTTTTGCATTGATTGTTCAAGATTTTGCCTCTCGGTTACTGCCCGTTAGCTTCTTTCAATGTCAGCGTGGTAACTGGAAATAGCATGCAGTGTGGTGTCTCCTAGAAGTAGTAAAGTAACAGAGAAATTTATTTGTCTTGACTTACAAAAACAACAAAAAAACCCCAGAGCCCTTTTTAAGCTACCGCCAGCCAAGCGTGCGGCTTTTCTGCAGGTAAGTCCAGGTGCCACTGAGGAGCCCCGCTGCCTGCACTGACTCTGCAGCATTAAGATAGCATCGAGTTGTGCTTCCAGAACTGCGCTCGTTATTGGCTAAAGCGGTGGAAATGAGTCTAAAGTTCCCTTGAAAATGGATCCCTTGTGGATCCCCAGTCCGTCCTTAACGTAGACACAGGATTAGCCAGGGTGTTTTTTCCCATTTCTAAGCATTTGGAAACAGAAGGCTCCTTTGGTGTCTCTGTCCATCAAGGGCTTCCGTTCCGCTGGCCACCTGTAATCCCCCTTCCAATGATTAGTGTTTGCAGCTTGCAGAATCAGTCACTTTTCTGACCCTCGGCTTTCCCCACATCTGTCCCCATGCAGGACTGCGTGTACACTTAAGGGATTTCTGCTCATGTTCCTAGGAGCTGTTCAGCCAGGGCTGTCAGAGGGATTAGAGGTTCCAGTGCCCTGGAAGGAGACCCCATTCCTAAAGCACCGTTTCCCACTGATGTTTCCATTTTGGAAAATGAAATGTCTGTTCACATTTAAAGAAATTACCTCAGTGCTCGGTGGGAGGGTTTCCCACCCTAGGAGAGCTCTTCAGACCCATGCTGTGAGCCAGCTCCTTCGTGCCCTTCTCTCTGTCCTCTGCATTCTCCTCTGCACTGTGCCACAGCTCCACCAAAGCAGATGCCCTCAGCCCAGACAAGTCTTTAGCCTGGTGGTCTGGGACTTGCAGAAGGAAGGAAACATACATTTAATCACTGTCACCCCTAACCCTGAGCTTAGAAGGATGCTGTCATTAAATCTGCCCATAAATACTCAGCTATGCAAACCCAGCAGGGGTTAAATCACCAGCCAGCATGAACTGCTTTGGCCTGCAGTAAAACACCCTCCGAATCACTGAATTTCCCTGCTAATTTCTCCCTTTCTGATCACTTGAGCTCACAGCAAACTATGTCATAAAAACCCTGACCTAAACGCCCAGCAGCTTTTCCCTGACTTCTCACACGTCTGCACTTCAAACCGAGGTGACTGCTTGTCAGCGCGCTTGTGCCGGCTTCAGCCAGCTGGCCAGGACAGGTCTTGCCAGGTAGCAAAGTCTGTAGGTACCTCCCGTGGTTCTCCTGAACGTTTAAGCCTAATTTATTGCATCTTCTTTGCTAACATGATTGACGTGGCCCCGGCATGTTTCCCCATCCTATTCACACATGTAAGCACAGCCTCGGGGGGATTGAAAGAGACTGAGCAACACATAGACTAACCACTTTAAAACAGAGGGGCATTTGCATTTTCAGATAATCAGGGTCACTTCCCTTTTTTCACAGGGCTTCCCACAGTGTAGGTGAAAGAATGGAGCTAATTGTGTTCTCGGTGGTATTTCCCCACAGATTCAGGGAAATCACAGAGCTTATCCCATCACTTGTAAAATACAGACCCTACCCAAACCCTCCAAAACGCAGGCGTTACGCAGTGCCTGTCAGCAGCTCAGCCAGCACTCCGTGCTCTGGGTCCACAAACACTAGTCTCACTGGTGATGGGACGGATGGACGGATGGATGGACGGACGGACGGACGGACGGACGGACGGATGGATGGATGAATAGATGGATAGATAGATGGATGGATGGATAGATGGA